TCCTTCCCCCACCCTTTTCGACCACCAACCATTACTCATCACTACCAAGCACCATCGGAAATAACCTCCTCCGCCAACCACCTCCAACCACCACTTCTCTCAACCGCCTACCATTGCCACAAACCACCTCCCAACATTGGCAACCACCTCCAACCACTTTTTGTAGAAAACTACCTACAACTACCACCTTAGGTGGCTAACCAGCTTCCATCTCTGACCACCGATAATCATTTTCGGCCACCATTTCCTATGGCCATCAATCACCTCCAACCATACCAACCACCTCTCACCTGTGGTAACCACCTTCGGCTGCTACCTCCTGACAACCATCTCCGGTCACTCTCTCTAACCGTCGACAATTATTTCTCGCAAACCACTCATTTTCAATTGTTTTTTAAATAAAATTTGAAAATACTTGTGTACCAAATATGTTTTTTATTTTTACCCAAAATAAATATAAATGTGTTTAATATTTTTTATAAATTAAAAACAATTAACTATAAACGTTGCTAAAAAGACTCCTACAAAAATCATGTGCCCAATTAATAGTGTATGTTTTGCTCATCATTCTGGATTTAAATTTATGAGTAACCGTTACGCCACGTCATCTTATGTCTCTCGATTGTTCCAGAGCCACGCAGATCCATTATTACCAATATGAACTGCCACGTGTCCGCCTTTGATTGGCAACTTATATTAACTCTCCAAATTGCTCTTCTCGTGCCACGTGTTAAGTTGTGATTGGCTTGTGCAAAATATGTAGCCAACAGATATTTACTGAAAAATTACTAATATTTTCTTTAAAAAAATTATTCACTTTTTAGAAGAATTGGGCATGAAATGCCTCTTTCATTTGCTGCCAAGTTTGGATAGAGCTAGGTTTAAGGTTAATATACCATGCAAAGGCTGACCCCGTTAAAGAATTTGGAAAAAAAGTCTCAATTTCATATAATCATTATTGGTGAATTCACCACATTGGCCTATAAACCTGGCAATGTATTCTACTGTTGACTGGTTTCCATTCCCATAAAAGAGAGCAAAATCAGGTATTCTAAACCACCTTGGGTATTCATGTACCCTATCCACCCATTCTGGGTATGGCTTTCTATATACAAGAGTCTGAACCCCCCGAGCCATGGGTCCACACGTCTCCCTGACAATATCAGCAATTTGGTCCCTAGGAACCATATTCCGTGCTTCTTGGACAACTACTAGAGGAACAACCACAAGGTTTGACGAAACTCCATGTGCTTGAGGACCTCTTGGTCCATAGAGAGGTATATTTAAGACTGGCTGTCATTGTGGTACTGGTTGCTGTTGAGGGTATGGTTGACCTCTCTAGGCTTGTCCTGCGAAAGGACCAGCGAAAGGTGTTACAAGAGAAGGAACAGGGGTTGTTTCTCTCCCAGTTGTAGGAAACCTTTCCAACCTCTTGGGTGTGAATTTCAACAGAGGGTTAGTGAACCCCCTTGTGCCAGGCATGGTTTCAAACATGGGATTTGGAACATTCTCATGCCATTTTCTTGTGTTGGCCCAGATCCACCAATTTGTATGGCTTCGCTGTTAGGTAATGGCATATTTTGATTACCAAAGGCCTCAAAGGAGGCTTATACCATGACTGAGGTACAGGTGATGGTCTTTCATAATTTTGATTACTAGTTTGACCATTAGTATGTCCATTAATATGCATAGACTGTTTATCTCTAGCCAATCTTTGCTAAGAACATTTGAATTTTCTTCCATATGCCTTGTGACAGTTGGTTGATGGGAATTCATTCGATCCATAAAGGATGTTGTCCATCTTTCCATTATATACATCAACTGCTGTCCCATGGCATCTACTAAGCCTTCCCAAGGATTCATTGGCTGGGTAGACGGAACAGTGGATAGTCCAATTCCATGGCCTCGTTCAATATCCTAAACATGTGATGCATGTTCCGAGGTGCTGGTCTGTTCGACCTTAGGTTCTGATGAGATATATGCTTGCATAGGATGTATTATTACATTATCTTCTGGATTAGGTACTTCTACCTCTCCTTCGACACCTTCTTCCAAGAGTTCATTTCCTTCTTGTCTCCTACGTCTAGCCATTTTAGAGTCCCACTGGGCGTGCCAAAAATATATGTTGGCTTTTTTGGCTTTCAAAAGTTAATTATGTAAATTTAAGCGTTCCAGTCAGGATCAATTAGTCCTTACAGAATTTATAATTGTCAACCAATTATCAAGTGATTGTGTTGAATTTCTTTTAGCCTCAATAAAGATGACTTTTATTGGTGACTTTTTAGAAAAAAAATTGTGAATAGTAACAAGTAAATATAATTCAGAAATCGAATTTCATTAAACAAATGAAAACTTACAATGAAATTACAATGAGCCAGCCTCGACGAGGTTAACAGCAACAAACTACTGAAAAACTACTCCTAGGAAATAAAGTGCAGTACAAAAAATGAAGTGCTGGAAGTGTAAAACTGTAAAGAAAATGAGGTAAATAAAATGGTTTCTGGATCTGAGTCTGGGTCCTTTATTCTGTGGCCTTCCTTACTATTTATACTTCCCAGTGGTAACCATCGAAGTGGGCTTCCAACCGTCAAAGCATCCTCCCATGATTGCTGAACATGCTCTCTCACAATCTGTCCCACTACACCACTCTTGTAGTTAGACTTCCCTCCTGATTTTGAATTTAAATTTATGAGTAACCGTTAGGCCACGTCATCTTATGTCTCTCGATTGTTCCAGAGCCACGCAGATCCATTATTACCAATATGAACTGCCACGTGTCCGACTTTGATTGGCAACTTATATTAACTCTCCAAATTGCTCTCCTCGTGCCACGTGTTAAGTTGTGATTGGTTTGTGCAAAATATGTAGCCAACAGATATTTACTGAAAAATTACTAATATTTTCTTTAAAAAAATTATTCACTTTTTAGAAATAAAAATGATAAAATGAAATGGTTACTACAATCAATTAATTTTTTAGAGATAAAAATTAGGAGACAAAAGCGCTTTTTAGTGACTAAATATTTTTGTTTTCAATAGTGTCATTATTAGCAACAAAATCTGGACATTAGTGATGTATTAATATCTTTTTGGGATTAAAATTTTTGTCTCAAAAAATAAGTCATTTTAAAACTAAATTATTTTATCCCATTTATTTATTAGCGATGTTTTCAAAATTTGGTAAGTAAAAACTTTATTTTTTACATTTCATAACGATCTTTCAAAGACAATTTTTGCGATGACAAGAATTGATCCCTAAATATTTTTTGTCACAAAAAAATTTAGTTTTTAAATCTCTTATTTATTGTAGTGGGCGGTTATCTTTATTAGATAGACCTTTTCTTTTATAAATAAATGGGATAAAATAATTTAGTTTTAAAATGATTTATTTTTTGAGACAAAAATTTTAATCCCAAAAAGATATTAAAACATCACTAATGTCCAGTTTTTGTTGCTAATCATGACACTATTGAAAACAAAAATATTTAGTCACTAAAAAGCGTTTCAGAGATAATTTTTGCGATGACAAAAATTGATCCCTAAATATTTTTTGTAACAAAAAAATTTAGTTTTTAAATCTCTTATTTATTGTAGTGGGCGGTTATCTTTATTAGATAGACCTTTTCTTTTATACATGATATATAAAGAGAGCATTATAAAATAAACTTTCCAAATTATTAAAACATAATCCATTATGGACTCACAGTCACAGGCCCAAACATAATGGTCACTGTTATTATATTCATCTAGATATGAGAAAAATAAAAATAAAAAATAAAAACAAAACAAAACCAAAAAAAAATCTATTTGGTTAGTCAGCAAGAGAATGTTAAATTCCTATAAAAAAACAAACATCTGGCTGCTGAGGATTATGATGTTTTGACGGTTCAACTGCCTAAATAATTAAGTTTAAAATGTTACTATTATCAACTTCTTATAAAAAAAACAAATATCTGGCGGCTGAGGATTGTGATGCTTTGGCAGTTCAACTGCCCAAATGTTACTATTATCAACTTCTTATAAAAAAACAAATATCTGGCGGCTAAGGATTGTGATGCCTTGACGGTTCAACTGCCTAAATAATTAAGTTTAAAATGTTACTATTATCAACTTTTTATAAAAAAACAAATATCTGGCGGCTGAGGATTGTGATACTTTGACGGTTCAACTACCTAAATAATTAAGTTTAAAATGTTACTATTATCAACTTCTTATAAAAAAACAAATATCTGGCGGCTGAGGATTGTGATGCTTTGGCGGTTCAACTGCCCAAATAATTAAGTTTAAAATGTTACTATTATCAACTTCTTATAAAAAAACAAATATCTAGCGGCTGAGGATTGTGATGCTTTGGCGGTTCAACTGCCGAAATAATTAAGTTTAAAATGTTACTATTATCAACTTCTTATAAAAAAACAATTATCTGGCGGCTGAGGATTGTGATGCTTTGACGGTTCAACTACCTAAATAATTAAGTTTAAAATGTTACTATTATCAACTTCTTATAAAAAAACAAATATCTGGCGGCTGAGGATTGTGATGCTTTGGCAGTTCAACTGCCCAAATAATTAAGTTTAAAATGTTACTATTATCAACTTCTTAAAAAAAAACAAATATCTGACAGCTGAGGATTGTGATGCTTTGACTGTTCAACTGCCCAAATAATTAAGTTTATAGATTTAGACCCTCTCAAACTTCAACCCCCACCATCCCCACACACACACATGGCGGGTGGTGATTGGAGAAGGAGAAAAAAAAGAAAAAGAAAAAGAAAAAGTGACCAATCAAAAAAAAAAAGAGTCAAAAAAGAGTGGGAGAAAGGGATCCCAATCGTTATTCTTAAGTTTAAAATGTTACTATTATCAACTTCTTATAAAAAAACAAATATCTGACGGCTAAGAATTGTGATGCTTTGAGTGTTCACCTGCCCAAATAATTAAGTTTAAAATGTTACTATCATCAATTTCTTATAAAAAACAAATATCTGGCGGCTGAGCATTATAAAACAAATCTTTTGTCATCTTCATTGCCAAAAAAAAACAAACCATACAATTGAGACAGAGATATGGAAGCAAAGCTAGCAAGACTGGGAAGCTCACTCCTTGTACCCAGTGTTCAAGAACTGGCCAAAGAATCACTCACCACGGTCCCACCGCAGTATGTTCACCATGATCATCAGAACCATCCAATCTCATCGTATGGTGCTCGTTGTCCCGATGATGTTCCGATCATCGACATGGACAAGTTGATTTCTGGAGATCACATGGATTTAGAATTGAAGAAGCTTAACTATGCATCCAAAGAGTGGGGTTTCTTCCAGGTATTTACATATATTTTCATTTTATTTTCAAATTCATGATGTTATGTTATGTAAATAAAAATTAAGAAATCAATTCTTATCCAAAAATAAAAATAAAAATAAAAAATCATTATTTGTGAACATCAACTTAACTAGGCAGAAAACAAATTTTTCCATATGGTAAATAATTGATTTTAACTGATTTCTACCCCAAAAAACCCATGTTTTAGTCTCTTAATTAAGCAGAAATATTATCACATGTGGATATAAAAAGGCTATAAACGTTTTTTTATATATATATATCTCCTTCCTTCCCCCACCCTTTTCGACCACCAACCATTACTCATCACTACCAAGCACCATCGGAAATAACCTCCTACGCCAACCACCTCCAATCACCACTTCTCTCAACCGCCTACCATTGCCACAAACCACCTCCCAACAGTGGCAACCACCTCCAACCACTTTTTGTAGAAAACTACCTTCAACTACCACCTTAGGTGGCTAACCGGCTTCCATCTCTGACCACCGATAATCATTTTCGGCCACCATTTCCTATGGCCATCAATCACCTCCAACCATACCAACCACCTCTCACCTGTGGTAACCACCTTCGGCCGCTACCTCCTGACAACCATCTCCGGTCACTCTCTCTAACCGTCGACAATTATTTCTCGCAAACCACTCGTTTTCAATTGTTTTTTAAATAAAATTTTAAAATACTTGTGTACCAAATATGTTTTTTATTTTTACCCAAAATAAATATAAATGTGTTTAATATTTTTTATAAATTAAAAACAATTAACTATAAACGTTGCTAAAAAGACTCCTACAAAAATCATGTGCCCAATTAATAGTGTATGTTTTGCTCATCATTCTCTCTATAATTTTTTGGGTCCTATAAACACATAACCTTTTATTATTATACAGGAACACAACCAACTGGTTAATTAATTATCAAAGAAAATATTCAAATCTCTTACAATCCATTTGGATTGAGTGATTTGGAGAGGCGGGAAAAATGAATCACGTGGTAGTTTGAATTACTAAACATGACAGAAATGAGGAGAAATTCAATGAAATAAAGAGAGATTAATTTTTCTTATAATCACTTTTTTAATCACTCCAAAATTGAAGAGATTTGGTGAGAAAAGAATTGGGATGATTCCTAATTTTATGTAATATCAAAATTGTCTATCTAACTGCTATAAAAATAAAAACAAAAAGGTTATTTTGGTAGGATAACCTATAAGAATTTCTTTTATTTTCTTTCATGTAGTCTATCTCAATAAGATAACCTTTATTTTCTTTTATCTCCAACTTAACCAAACAAGAGGAAAAAAAAATCCTAACCTTTTCTTTTCTTTTCTTCTCTCTTAACTTAACAAATCTTTTCTTTCCTTTCTTCAACAAAACTACCAACTTTATTTGTTTTCATGTTATTATCTACCGTCTCGTGGGATTTCTTTATTGATTTTACTCATATTTCTTCTATCAATTAAAACATCTCAATAAGAAAAAAGAATAGTTTTAAAAAGTCGACAGAAACCAAAATTATTAGTAACAAAATATTCGTGCAAGTAAAGTTGGGAAAGAGCTTATTGTTTTGTACTAGCTAAGGGAAATATCAATCTAGTGAGTTTTCGAAAAAAATTATAAATAAGTAATAAAGTTTTTATATATTAATAATTAAAATTATAAATTTTTTCACTTTCATGCAATAATTTTTTAATCATACAACTGATAAGTAATTTAAAAAAAGCTTAATCATAGAGGGGTAACCTCCGAGAGTAGATCCTATAAAAAACTGAGACTCCAAAGGTCACCTTTATATGGTTGCCACATAACATGGCCACTCAAATATATAGTAATAAGTCACGAGGTTACACACAGACGGGAATTCAAACTCACAATCCTGGCACTGAGTATTGTTCGTCCAAACTTAAAAGATTCGTCCTACCAATTATATATATTGTCGCTCAAATAACTGACCCCAAAAAGAGTGGAATCTGGTAACTCAAGGCATATATTCCAAAAGCTAAACACTCAAAAGATTTTCTTTCTTTTTTTTATAGAACAAGTGGAAGAATTATTGGCATTTAGGTCCTACAATCATGTTGTGTATCTTTTTTATTTTATAGTATTTTTTTGGTCTGCCCGTTGAATTTTAATGTCTTTAGACGAAAGAAAGATCTAATGATAGCTACAATATATCTATTTGGCAATTTAGGACACAAAAATAATAATAAAAGTTTATTAAGGGGTTGCTTGGGATGACCTAAATAAGTGCACTTTATGTCTTTTCATGAAAAGTTGTGCAAAAAAATAGAGATGTGATGTGATGGAAAAAAGACAAAAAGATGGATTATTTTTGGGTTGCCAAACTTGGCCTAAGTTAGCACCAAAATAAGTTTTATATTGTTTTCAGTTTGAGCAGACTCTGTTGAGATCTTGCTAACAATGTGCGGTAACACCACTTTTTATTTAGTATTAAGCTAGCAAAAATAGAAAAGAAAATACACTCTCTCTGTCTCTTATCTTGTCTTGGTTACACTTATGCATGTTGTTATGCAATTTTATTTTATTTTTTTGGGGTGTACATTTTATATATTTTTATGATTTATGATAAACGTTAATAATTTTTTCTCTTTTCTCCAAATCACTCCTTCCAATCCGAAATTACTCCATCCAATCTGACTATAATTTGTACGAGGCACCAAAATTAACATAGCAAGCAAGTGATTCCAATCTCAATGCACACTTACAAAACTTTCAAATTGTTTTCAATAGATTTGAATATCCGAATCAATTGTATTGCAGCAAATGCCAAATCTGTATCATTGAGCGTGTGTGTATTTTAGATTTGTTCAGGAAAAAAATCCAAACATATCATTTAAAAAAAGAAAAAAACTGAAACAATAGGAATGTGGTGCAGTTGATAAATCATGGAGTGAGCTCTTCATTAGTGGAGAAGGTGAAGATGGAGACTGAGGAATTCTTCAACCTCCCAATGGAAGAGAAGAAGAAATTTTGGCAGGACCCTGGTGGGACATCAGCCAAGGAAATCCCCCTCTATTCCCGATGTGGGACATCAGGAGCTTATAAAATAAGCCAAAAAAACCCTTGTTCTCTTTTTTTGTTCTTTGTTTTTTTTTTTTTGTTTTTTTTTTGTAAATTGTCTCCTATGAATTAAAAAAGATCATTAGTAAACACTTGTCTCATACCATGCAGAGATTCCATAGAAGCATATTCAGCAGAACATAAAAGCCTTGTCATGAAATTACTTGAGTTTGAGGAACAAATGCAATCCATGGAGCACTCCAATGCACAAAACAGATTTAAGCATAAATTTGATCTTTGAGTAAAAGTTGTTTTTGATATGAAACACTCGAATGCACAAAAAAAATTTAAGCATAAATTTAAGTTAAAGCTCCAGTAATGAAAAAGTTGTAAATTTTGAAAATTTGAGTAAACATTTGAGTCTCCCTTGATTTGGGTTTAAAAAAATGTATATAAAAAAAATAAAAAATAAAAAATAAAAGTAGAGGGTATGCCAATAGGATCAATTGATTATATGATCTGTCTACCTGCTCATGGAGCTGTTATTGGAGCTTGGTTTGCAGCTTGGCCAATGCCACTTGATTAGGAAAGGCCATGGCAGGTATTGTTTTAACATTAAACTTGAAGGCAGTTTGTTAGCTTCTTATTATTTGCCTTGTATGTAGTTTATGTATTTTTTAATCTTAGGGTTCCTTATAAATTATTTTTATTGAGAATGATGGTTGATTCTTGAGGCCTGATAGCTTGATACAACTTTTGTTTTTGCAAGCATCTCCTAATTTTACGTCTCATCAATATCAGTTTAGATGAACTATTTTCATTGGATCTATTTATTTATGTATTAAGAAGCCATTATTCAGGGGCTAGTGCAATTGTAAAAGCTTGATCAACTTAACACAATGTGGGTAAATTTAGCTCATGTGCACTCGATAAAGCTCAAACATACATTTCTTTCTGCCAATCGTTAAAAAGACAGTCAAGTTGAAATAAAGAATCAAATGTAATATTCTCTTTGTTATTCAAATTGTGTAAATTAAACAAGATAAATAGATTCATAATTTATTGAATTCAATAATAGAACATCAAATAAATCCATATTATATTCTAGAGCATAATACAGAAATACATATCACATAATATATTGAAAGACGAGGAATCAAACCAAATTCTGTGTGATACCACAATATTTAAAACAGATTAGTCGTTCACCGTGAGTGCTGGAGCAATGTCGACTTCTGTCTCCCAGGATAAGATGGCTTAGACCGGCTAACGCATAAGCACTTTCTGTTAGCTTTGGCAAACCGACAATGGCAGCACTCTCTTACACAAAAAAATATATATGAACAAGCAAACTGACTAGTATATTCTAGAAGCAAAAAATCTGTACCAACACCAAGGGAGATGGGTCTCATTTTATATGCCATGGAGAGAGAGGAGGAGCCTCCAGCCATGAAGGCTAGCAACCAATACTCATGAAAGCTAGTAACCAATACTCATGAAGGCTGGCAACTAATGGCTGTTACTCCTGTAAAACAGCTGGAGTAATGGACCAAAACTGATGGGACAATAATATATATGAGATATGTATTCTGTACACACAAGGGTATATATCTGTAGTAAACTTGGCCCAAAAAGATTAGGTTGGTGGACCACCAATTCGGCCCAGCCCAAACCCAACCATTTCCAACTAGCCCTCAAGCCCAAGTTCCAAGATCCACGAACCCAACCTAGTCCAAGAGGGCAGGCGGCGCGCGCACACACGCGTGTGGCAATTTTTCCATAACCAACTTAAACCATAGTCTTGGCCCAAGCCCACCCTTGAAACATCCATAACTCCCTTCCTTCGAAAAATTTGGATGGCCCAAAGGGCTCATACCCTTATCAAAATCTTGAGATTTAAATACCCATCAAAGTTTCCCTCTACAATCAATGTGGGATTGATAGTTATACACAATTCCCAATACATCATTCATGAGGCGATCTTTATGAGACAATTTCTCATTCAATTCTCAATGGTTATTGGCCATTCTTTCTGTGGTGTAAAGATCTTGTTACAAAGAATCTAAACCAATTTAATCTCACCTTAACCAATGGTTAGAACCTACTTTAATTTCACATTAAAGTTTACCAAAAAACTATTTTTTTTCCAACACTCTTGCTATATAATAACATCATTAGCCTCCTTTTTGGTTTATGCTTTTTGTTAAATATTGCTCAAGCAGCAATTTTGTTCTCTTCATTTCCTTGGTTGAACCTAACATTGGGTTATTACCCTTCTATTTTGATTCGTATACCAATTGTATTTTGTTAATAGGAATGGCCCATTTGCGTGAGTTATAGAGCTATAGCCGAGTACTTGGTTGGAATGGTGGCATCTTTCTGTTTTATACTACTACGCAGTCATGTCAAAGCAAAATAGTTAGCTAAATATATTTTCAAGATTCTATTGCTTTGGATTTGGAAATTTGTCCCTTTTCTTCTTCTTCTTCTTCTTTTTCTTCTTCTTCTTCTTCTTTTATTGTTTTTCTTTTTTTTTACTAGGCTTTCGAGATTTATCTACTTGACCTACAGTTGCGTGGATTTTTGTCGAGCATTTTGGTTATGATGTTAATCTTAGTTTCAGAATTTAATCTTTCGTCAACTTTCATTGTATTTTAATACCGATTAATTTTCCAAAGTCGACTTCTTGATGCAGCAAATCAATCAAAGAGGACCCTCTACTAATTCTTCTTCTTAGTAAGTTATCTTTTGAGATCTATATTCGATTTCCTTTGTGGGTTTCTATACAACAACATTAAGTAATTTACACATTTAGCTTGTGATTGACAAAATATACACATTACATTAGGCATTCCCTCTTAGCATTCCAATATATAGCAAGTAAGATACAATTTTCAGTCTTCATTTCCAAGCTAGCCATCCCAACAAACTAAACTTTTGCTTTTGAATCAAGATTTTGGGTAAGAAATTAGAAAGGAAAGCAATTATATCTCCAGTGTTTACTGTTATCATGTCCTGCAAGCTTGGTCTAAGCTCTCAGTTCTATGCAGGTCTTGCAAGCTTGCGTCGATTTGAAGGCTTGGGAGCTCTCTACGAGATTTTCAATGCCATTTCAATGAAGCCCTTGAGAAGAAGATGCAATGAGCTATTCTGTTTGTAGGTAGATACAACGACAAGTTACAATTTGTTCATTGAATAGTTGAATGCTACAAACAATACTTATAGCACTAGCCTTATAAAATAGAAATGATACTTTTGAAATCGGTTAGTTTATGATAGAGAATCCATATATATTACGTACTAATGAATCAGAGCATGGATTATAATTTACCTTATTTTGTTTGTGAAAATGAATTAGGAATTCCATATTAATCAAACAAGTTATGGTCAAACTCTTATATGAGCTATTAGGCCCTGAAGTGAACTCTTTGAATATGCTCAAACTCACATATGAGCTATCAGCCACATTTCTGACCTGTTATGGAGGAATGTGGCCCCTCCAAAGGTGCAACTTCTATACAGGGGTTTGCAAGGTACCTGGGTTGCAGCTGGTGTTTTTGTTATTTTGGCTGATGTATTATTGTTATGCTTTTGGTTATTTGATTTTTTGCTGGAAATGTGAAAGTCAAATTGCTTTCTTTTGGATGTTTGCAATGATATATTAGAATAATTGCTAATAATAAATTAGTGGATGTGAATGAAAGTTGTTCTGGTATTTGGTTCTTTGGTATTTGTTTGCTTGCTGAGAAATAGGAGGAAAAATATGAAAAATATCATTTGAATCTTATGTTGTGTGTTGTTACAATCAATATAGCTTTTTGTTTTGCTGATCAAAAAAAAAATGTAATTTTTTTTCAGAGAAACAATTTTATTATTGATGCAAAAGTTATATATGAGTAATGTTACAAAATCAAAAAAAATATATATATATATATATATATATTATCAAATTTTAGAGACCAATTTTAGTTGTCTCAAAAAAAATTATAACTTTTAGAGCCCTCTATTAGTCATCTCGAAAACTAAAACTTTTTCAGACCACTTCTAATTGTCTAAAAAACTAAAACTTTAGAGACCAACTTTTGTTGTCTCAAAAACTTTTTTTTTTTGCCGTAGTTTGTAACAAATCTGGTGTTTCAAAATTACCCAATTAGACTCTTCTAATAAATTTACCCAAGATGGTCACAATTAAATTATGTCGAAAATTTATTAAATTTTAAACCGTTAAACTGATTCATATCAATTCGTCAATTCGCTCAATCCGCATCTACCGGATTGGCGGACAAATGCGGATTGATTTTCTCCAATCCACCAATCTGGCAGACGGATGGCGGATTGGAAGTTCCGTGACCGCAACTGATCCGCGCCACCCCTATTACCAACCATCCATATTCTTCATTACTCATATAAATCTAGATATTAGTAATGAATTATTATTCTTTTGGGATTAAAATTTTGTCTCAAAAAATAAATCTTTTTGAAACCAAATTATTTTATCCCATTTATTTATTAGCAATATTTTTAAAATTTTGTTGCTAAAAACTTGTTTTTTACTTTTCAGAACGATATTTTAGTGATAATTCTTGTGACAACAGGAATTGATTCTCAAATATTTTTTGCAACAAAAAAGTTTAGTCTATAAATCTCTTATACATTGTAGTTGGTTATACTTATTAGATCGACTTTTTTCTTCATACATGATATATAAAGAGAGCCTTACAAAATAAACTTTTCAAATTATTAAAACATAACCCGTTATGGGCTCAGAGGCCCAAACATATGTTAGGATTAAGGCACACCAAAAATCAATCACACATAGAAAAGAGACAAGATATTTACGTGGTTCGGCAATAGCCTACATCCACGGGAGTGATATCCACTATAGAATTTTTTCAGTGGGAGTTTACAACACTCACACCTCACTCTCCATCTATAGCACTCTCACTCTCACTCACAAATTACACTCTCTGCTCTGTCTTTCTATTTCTGATGATTCAATTCAGCTTACAGCTCTCCCTATTTATACAAAAACGGGAGAGCCCAAAAAAAAAATCAAAATTTGTTTGCCAACCTCTACTTGCCAACTACCAAGTTAATGGCAAGCCACTCTAGGTTTGAAAAACTTTAGCAAATCTGTATTCACAGCCTCCATACTTGACTTCCATCATAGCCAAGTTCACATTGGTGTAGATCTTTAACAATTCTCCCCCTCCACACCTATGGGGAGTAGGAACCTTACTAGAAGTCCATCCCAACAATGTCCCTACATACTTCGAGTTTGTCTCTGGTGACAACCTTGGTCATCATGTCAGAAGGATTCTTGTCCGTGTGAATCTTCATTAGCATCATCAACTACTTTACCATCACTTCTCGTATCCAATGATGTCGGGCATTAATGTGCTTTGTACGTAAATGGTACATGGAATTCTTACTCAGATCAATTGCACTCTGACTATCGCAATGTACCTTTTACTCTTCTTGCTGTAGACCCAATTCTTGGAGAAACCGCTATAACTACAACATTTCCTTTCCACCATCTACGATAGCAATGTACTCTGTCTCTGTTGTAGATAAAGCAACACACTTTTGTAGTTTGGGCTGCCATGAAACAGCTCCCCCTGCAAAGGTGAATAAAAATCCTGATGTAGATTTTCTACCATCAAGATCACCCGTCATATCGGCATCTGTAAAACCTTCCAAAATTGGTTCAGCTCCCCTCCATCCCAACAATGTCCCTACATACTTCGAGTTTGTCTCTGGTGACAACCTTGGTCATCATGTCAAAAGGATTTTTGTCCGTGTGAATCTTCATTAGCTTCATCAACCACTTTACCATCACTTCTCGTATCCAATGGTGCCGGGCATTAATGTGCTTTGTACGTAAATGGTACATGGAATTCTTACTCAGATCAATTGCACTCTGACTATCGCAATGTACCTTTTACTCTTCCTACTGTAGACCCAATTCTTGGAGAAACCGCTATAACTACAACATTTCCTTTCCACCATCTACGATAGCAATGTACTCTACCTCTGTTGTAGATAAAGCAACACACTTTTGTAGTTTGGGCTGCCATGAAACAGCTCCCCCTGCAAAGGTGAATAAAAATCCTGATGTAGATTTTCTACCATCAAGATCACCCGTCATATCGGCATCTGTAAAACCTTCCAAAATTGGCTCAGCTCCCCCAAAACATACACACATCTTGTACAGTGTTGAAGACATCTCTCCTCTGGCGATTGTCAAAGCTCCTCCTGTCAGCTTCCAACGGCCATTTCCAACTGTACTTGTATAGCCCTGTCGGTCCAGGGCACTTCCGGAGATAAGATTGAGGCGCAAATCTGGAACATGCCTCACATCTTTGAGAACCAGCTTGTGTTCAAAATTAGTTTGAATACTAATGTCTCTAATGCCCACAATCTTCAAATAGCAAGAATTTCTCATTCGAACAGTTCCAAAATCTCCACTGTTGTACGAGCTGAAGAGTTCTCTGTGGAAAGAGGCGTGATAGGATGCAGTTGTGTCTATCACCCGCTCTGTACAACTGTGGTTAGCCACATGAAAGTAATACTCCTCTTCACCAACTGCATGAAGTATTTCATCATTTGTTGTGGTTGTCGTGTTCTCATCTCCCTTTAACTTACTGCATTGACCTTTATCTTTCCAGCTTGGACAGTTCCTCTTTATATGACCCTCCTGGCCATAGTGAAAGCAAGTAAAGCTATAGTTACCTTGACTTTTACTGTCTCTGGATTTACTCATGTTGTTCCATCTGCCTCTACTCTTGCTTCTTCCTCTGTCTCTGCCTCTTCTTCTACCTCTATCTCTGCCTCTATCTTCTGTGACAAGAGCGTAGAACTGATTACCTCCCATGTCTTTCCTCCTTGCTTTATCTTTCCGGCTTGGACAGTTCCTCTTTATATGACCCTCCTGGCCATAGTGAAAGCAAGTGAGGCTATAGTTACCTTGACTTTTACTGTCTCTGGATTTACTCATGTTGTTCCATCTGCCTCTACTCTTGCTTCTTCCTCTGTCTCTGCCTCTTCTTCTACCTTTGTCTCTGCCTCTATCTTCTGTGACAAAAGCGTAGGACTGATTACCTTCCATGTCTTTCCTCCTTGTCTCTTCATTGTACATGGCATCTATGACCATGCTCATGGTCAGCTTCCCCTCTGGTGCAGAATTGCTGAGAGAAACCATTAACGTCTCCCAACTATCCGGTAAAGAACTGAGCAGTAGTACGGCTTGCATTTCATCGTCCAAGGGCATCTTGACGGTTGCAAGTTAATTCACTAGATTCTTGAATTCACTGGTGTGCTCGTTGACAAACACACCATTATTCAACTTCAGATTTGCGAGCCTTCTCATCATCAAGGCTTTGTTTCGGGCGGTGTTTGCCTCTTTTATGAGGGTGGCCTTGACTGGGGGAGCTGGAGGTTGAACCGACCCCACCACTACTGGCCCACCCTGAGGCCTGAATAGGAGAAATGGTATGATCGAGTTGTTCCTGCTAGGATATTGGACCTTCAAGAACTCTGTCTTCTCGACGCCCTTCAACTAGCCAGGTTTTCTATTTCTGAAGACCCTTTCCTCATACCCGCTACACTCTGTTTTTGGAATCCATTTTTCAATTTTTTCCAATTTCGATGTGGTTTGATAACTCCTACTGTTCTTGATATATGTCATCTCTTAGGGTTATTCCCTATTGGCATTCCTTTTGGCCCTAATTACCCGACCTTAATGTGCCTTTTCCCATTCCCCCTCTTAACTCCTCCTTTAGTGATTTCGTAAATTCTGAAAACCAAAGGGAGGGCCTTGTAACAGACCGAGATTTCTTATCTTTTCTTCTATACTGGCTTTACAAATTTTTATTTTGCAATTCTTCTCGAAGGATTATGCCTGAGTTTGCCCCTCTTGCCAAGGTCCTTTCTTTGGGAAAGAAGATAGCCTTAGCTCCATATGTTTTAGGCCACGTATATAGAGCTTGCTTCTAGCTTTGTGAAAAACCTTTGGATGCCAACCAAAGAGGGCCATTATGGATATTGCAACTTTGCTTTTTGCTTACTTTACTGATTTACACTCCTGATGTTTGAGATTTTTGTACCAAACCCTACTACTTACGGAGTAAAATATGCCAGAGTTTCACTTTACCCTTCCAACTTTGCTTACTACTTCACTTTTTTTCACCAACTCCCAGCTTCCCCTCCTTCTCGCACCTTTTTCTGTCCTTTCAAAGCCAATGTTGGCCCAGCATGTTTAAGAACCTTCTTGGCTAATAGAAACTACTCCCAACCTCAACACAGGGACATATGGGCTTTTATCTTAACCCCAAGGTAGCTTTTTATTGGCACCTTACACCCTTAAGCTTACAAATGCATAGCAAAAGCCTACTGCCCTGCTCAATTTGCTAGGTAATTTGGGCTTACCCAGGGGATCCCTATCTCTCTATGCAGCCAAACTAATCCAAATCTTGCCACTGGAGAGTTGAAACTGCAAAGAACCAGGCTGGAGGAAGCAACCTCCAAATTGATTCAAGACTTGATCGAATTTCAATTCACTCCCTTCATCCCACAAGGCACTGCACTGAGAACGTACCAGAATTAGTGGGCAGCCAACATGGAGGTGCTCTTAGCCATTTCCCCTGAGGATTTGTTAGTAGGGTTAGACGTGCCCTCTCAAGCAGAACCCAAGGAGACTGGTATTTCTACTAATGCTTCCATTTCTCCTGCTATCCCAGCTCCTACTCTTGCTATGTCAGCAACTCTTCCTACAATTGTCAGGGCTACTTCGAAGAAAGGTACTCATTTCTTCTTTCCCTTTCCATTTTCCTTTCCTTTTATGATATTTTGTTTATTTGCTTATGGCTTTTATTCGATGCAAGAACTTCTCACGCAGACTCTCCTCAAAGAGCTCAAGCCTCAACCATTCTCAGGAGCAAGCAACAATAACAAAAGAAGAGAAAACTCATGCTTAACCCTAAAGAAGAAAAAGTATCTGCAGCTCATACGGACAAGGAGAAGGCAGAGGAGGAGAAAGAAATGCTATTAAAAAGAAAAAAGAAAAAGGTGACAGTCTCCCCTTCTGATTTTACTGAGGACCCTACTCACAAGGTAGCTACTAAGGCAGTGGAGAGAGAACAATCTAATGAAATAATTGTCTTCCAGAGGTCTGAGAAGAGGAGACAACAGCAGATACAGAGGGATGAAACTGCTGCTACTGATGCACTCTAAAGGAAAACTACAAGGAGGCAACAGATTGTCGAGCACTATACTCTTCGTAGTTCTCCAACCATCACCACAACTTCTAAGGCTGGTAATTTCTCTTAATCCCTGTGGTAATTTCATTTCCCAAGATTTCAGCATAGAAACTCACCATTGCTTCTTATTTTTTAATTCGCAGCAACTGTTATTCCACATCCCTATCCTTCGACACTGGCTTCTTCTGTTTTGCTTGAAGATGAAAGGCCATTAGAGGCAGCCTCAAAAAGGAGAAAGAAGAACAACACCAAAGTGCCTTTAAGTGTAGAGCCCATCCAGAAAGTACTTCCACTTCTTAGCCCTACACTTTCCATACCTTCTTTGAGGCCAAACATCTCTCTTTCTTTATGACCGGGCTTAACTCCATATCTACCTCATCTAACTTTTGTCTCAGCCCAGTTTACTCTCCCTATAGTCCTGGCTAATCCTTCATCACCTGAGAGGGCCCCAGTTGTCACCTCATCATCAGTGATAGCTAGTACTCCCAGAGAAAATACTGGTAGCTCACCAATTTCTTGTCCACCATCCAGCTACAATCCCTCTTCCCTTCACCGACTGGTGGCCAGGACTATAGACACTGCTTGGGAATCTCACACTCCTTCGCCAATCCCCATGTAGCCATCTCTTCCTTCCACTAGTGATTTCTCTGTACTTTCAATGTCAGAAGAGGATATGGATATTTTTGAAACCCGGCTAGCTAGCCTATTTGACATGCCTTCCTCAGTTCAATCAACCAATAGTAAAGCTGAACCATTGGTCCTTGCTGACTCCTTCCTGGAAATTTTTTAGAGTTCCTCTACTATCAACAGAGTTCCTTCGCCTCCAGTGGACTTGGGCACTTGTTTGGAATTGCTGACATTATTCTCAAGGATTCCATTCGAAGCCTTACAAAGACCTATCATTAAGAATGGTTTCCTCCAATGCTGCAAAGTTATTGAGCAATCCAACATGCCTATTTCAAGTCACTTATCCCAGACAGCAGCTATCATAGTTTCTATGTTAATATCTGCCATATTGATAAAGCTGTAGAAGAGAAGCTACTGAAAGACAAAGAATTTATTTCTCATATACATGCTGAGATATCTGAATTAAAGGAACAACATTCCTCTGCTTCTCAGTTTCGAACTTAACTCTTGGAGAAAAAAATCCAATTAGAGGAAGAGTTAGCAACAGTTAACCTAGCCTTGGATCGTATTGCTAAAAAGCTGCAAATTACCAATCAAGGGCTGGCTGACCGTAGGCAGGACATGGCTATAGCCATTCAGTTGTTCCCATCCCTTAAGAGTAGAGAATCAATTGTAAAGGAACAATTGAAGCATTGTACTGATTTCTAGGCCAATTTATGGCTACATGTATTTAATTCTTTATGAAATGAAAACCTTTTATTATCTATCTGAGTGTTTCATGCTTTCTCATTATTTCATTTAGCACTCTCTACACTCCTTGTGTCTCCCACACAGTTGGATAATAAGGCTTGAGGTACCTGCCATTAATTTTCTTAGAATGCACATAACTATTCAGGTTCCTTAGATTATAAGCTCCTAACCTGATATAGTCCTTCCCAATTAGGTGACCATTTGCCAAATTTATGGCTCTTAATGCCTATTGGAAGTATTGTCTTCCATACCAAGTCAACTTCATCAAAGCTAATATGCTTGACTTTCTTGTTATAACTTCTGGCTGCCTTTTTCTTTTGGAGAAGAATATTGTTTAATGCCAAGATTCTAGCCTCATCCACATGTTCTATTTCTAAGAACATGCTTTGATGATATTGCTCAGAAGTTAAGTGGTCTTGGCCTTTTATCCTTAAGGATCTAATGTTACCTTCCACGGGCAAAACTGCATCATGCCCATACACTAAGGCGTAAGGAGTGACTCTTGTACTTAACCTTGTAGAAGTCCTATAAGCCCATAATACATCTAACAACAAGTTATGCCAATCTCTAGGATTGTCTTCCATAACTCTTTGTATTCCTTTTTTTAAGAACTTGTTGGATGATTCTGCCTGACCATTTGCTTGTGCATAATAAGAGGTGGAATTAATAAGACAAATTCCAAATTTTGCTGTGAAAGATTTTACCATCTTTTTATCAAACACAATCCCCTTATCTATAGTTATGGTCTGTGGGATGCCAAATCTGTGAATCAGATCTTTAATAAATCCAATAACTTCAGTTTGATCCACAGCATTATATGGTTTAGCTTCGACTCACTTAGTGAAGTAATCCGTGGCCACTAGGATGAAACAATGTATTTTCCCTATCATATCCATAGCCCAACCTCTAAATGGCCAAGGCTTCACAACTATATGCAAATCAATTATTGACACATGTCTTATTATGCCATACTTTTGGCATGTTTAACAACCTCTACATACTCTTTACAGTCTTTAAGGATGATTGGCCAATAATAGGAATGACTTTGAAGCAACCATCTCATCTTCACACCAGGCTGGTGTGCACAACAAATGCCTTTATGTACTTCAGTCATAACTATCAATGCCTCCTTTGGCCCTAGAAATTCCAGTAATAACCCATATGCTCCCCTTTTGTACAGAGCATTACCATACACTATGTATTGCATGGACTGTAATTTAATCTTTCTACTGGCCTTCGAAGATGGGCCAGTCAAGTACCACATGATTGGATATCTCCAATCTTGATATTGTAAGTCATTATGATTGACTTCTAGCATAGTGACCCTTTTAACTAAAGGTGGTATTAATTTTTGATACGTTACTTGACTTATGTTCAATTGAGTGACATCCCTTCTTCTAAAATTCGAAGCCTTTTGAACTACATCATTGGCTTTGTTATTCATGAACCTTGGGATATAAAAGTCACATTTGCTATCTGAAACTGAGAAAGAAAATATAATGTAACAACATAATATGGCAACATTCTTGCACTTTGACATTTAAAAATTCTTGTACTTGGTTGACTACCAATTGAGAATCTCCAAATATGTCAACTGCATGAGCTTGTAATCCAATAAGTATTTCAAGTCTCATTATTAAAGCTTCGTATTCAGCTTGGTTATTGAAACAAGTGATTTCATCAACTCTGAAACCATGTTTGGTTTCTACCCCCTATGGTAACTTAATTACATCACCAATTCCAATCAGACCATTGGCCTTTGATCTATCGAACCACATTTTCCAGGGCTCAACATTGACCATGCCAAGATCCATTGTCTATTGGCTTTCTATTTGACATTGATGGTCTGCCAAAAAGTTAGCCAAGACTTGCCCTTTTACTGCCTTTTGGTGGATATATTCTAGACGAACTCTGAAAGAACCAACATCCATTTGTCAATTCTTCCTCTTAGCATAGGTCTAGATAACAGGTATTTAACCAAGTTTGTGGTTGTAATTACCAAGATGATAATAGGAAAAAGATAGTATCTTAATTTCATTACTGCAAAGTACAATGTAAGGCACAGCTTTTCTACAATTGAGTATTTATATTCACAAGAATTTAAAAACCTACTAAGGTAATAAACTGCTTGCTCCTTTCTTTCTTCATTATCCTGGGCTAGGAAAACTCCCAATGAATCTTCTGCTACAGCAATGTATAACTTCAAGAGTTTATCTCTCCTTGGTGGCAACAACACTAGAGGTTTAGCCAAGTAGGCTTTAAGTTTTTCGAAAGCAGCTTGATGCTCAACTGTCCACACAAATTCTTCTTTATTTCTCAACTTTAACAAAGAAGAAAATACTTCTGTTTTCCCTACAGTGTTAGAAATAAATCTTCGAAGGAAATTAACCTGGCCATGGAACTTTTGTAATTCTTTCTTACTTGATAGAGGTTTGGCCTCAATGATAGCTTTGGCTTTATTCCGATGAATCTGTATTCCCTTCTTGTGCACTACATATCCTAAGAAGTTTTCAGCTGACACACCAAAAGCACATTTGATAGGATTAAGCTTCAACTTGAACTTTTTCATTCTCTTGAAAGCTGCTGTCAAGTGAGCCAGGTACTCCTCCATAGACTGGGACTTCACAACAATGTCATTAATGTAAGGCCATCTCCAACAGTGTATCAAACCCAGCATGAGATTTGAAATTTGATGAAAAAGCCACTGTTTGTGTCTCGAATGGTTTCACCAAATTGATATCAAAATGAGAACATAACAAAATTTTCACCAAACTGAGAACAAGCTCGCGATTTCAATATTTCACTGTGCTATAACGTTGGGGTGGGCCAGCCGGTCAACCAACTGGATATCCGGCCGGTTGACCCACCGGTCGACCTGTTCCCTTTCAAATAGGTAGGTTCAAACAGGGTCAAAAAGGTTCAAACAGGTTTTAAAAAAAAAAATTCTTGCCTTACCGGTTGACCGGCCGGTCGACCCACCGAATGACCCTTCGCTTTTGATGCACCGTTGGAGCAAGCCATTTTAGATTGAGAAAATCAACTATTTTTTACTTAGATTTGGTGAAAAAAGTAATGAACTGTTAGAGATGCTCTAACACTCTAGATATCCTCCAATGAGATTATGGAAGATAGTATTCATTACCCTCTGATATGTAGCCCCAGTATTCTTTAAACCAAATGGCATTTTAACCCATTCAAAGGTTTCAATATTCCCAGGACACGTAAATGTTGTCTTATGGACATCTTCCTCTACAATGTAGATCTGGTTGTAACCAAAATGTCTATCTATCATAGACAAAATTTTGTGTCCTACTGAACTATCCACCAGTAAATCTACTATGGGCATGAGGTACTCATCTTTTGGGGTTGCTAAATCCAGATTTCTAAAATCGATGTATACCTTCATTTTACCATTTTTTTTTACCACGGGCACAATGCTGGATAGCCATTCAACATATATGGTTATTCTAATGAAGCCTGCGTTAAGGAGACTAAGAATCTCTTCTTTCACCTTCTTAACCACTTCAGGACTCATCCGTCTTGATTTCTACTTGTATGGCTTGAAATTAGGCTTCGTAGAGAGCCTATGTTCCACTAATGACCTGTCCAATCCAAGCAGTTCATTGTATGACCAAGAAAAAAAATCCTTATATTGTTTTAAGACAACCAATAACTGGTTCTTGTCACAAGGACTTAACGAAGCACTGATTAAAGTAGGTTGTTGTACTAAATATTCGCCCAAGTTGACTTCTTCTAAAAGGTCTTGAACTTGAGCACTCACTGATGCCCTCTCTTTACCTTCTTCCACCCTCGAAGCAACCCCTTTATTTTGTTCTACCCCCACCTTTTCTGGTTCAACATCTTTGTTTTCTTTTTCATAGACAAAATCTGTCCATAAAGCATCTTCTTGTATTTTCTAGACTTTATTTTCAATGTCCAATGCATAGCATTTACCAAGAGCCAAAGGTTTGGCCACTTGGTGCATCTGACTATAGCCAACTATTATGGCTTCTTGCTTTTTCCCCTATACTTTCCGGACTATTGCATTTATGTCCAATGCTGAAAATTTGATTAAAGCCAATGGGTTGGGTTGTCGATTTTGATCTTTCTGCTTACAACCAGGCATCATCATCATCTTTGTTGACAAACTTTTCATTAGCACTCTTCTGCACTAAGTGCTTTAGGTGTGCTACTTCCTCATCAGCCGTCACTTCGACTACTCCATCAGGCTTCCTCAGCACGCTGAGTGGTACAACCCTTTAGTGTATAGCTTGACCTCAACAAAATCAGCACAAGCAATAAAAGGCTGTGGATTCACATTGATTTCCTCTGTTTTCCCATTACACAGAGCTATCATCATCTTCTGATGTAAAGAAGAAGGCACACACTTGTTGGTGTGGATCCAGTTCCTGCCAAGCAAACCATTATACTTGGCATTACTGTCCATAACAAAGAATGCTTTCATGCAATCTCTAATTCCCACACTCAAGTTGATGGGTAAAATACCCTGAGTCATTTGCTTATCCCCAGCAAAACCAGCAATAGTTGTACTGGTGGAGATCAACCTAGGATTTTTTTCTTTCCAACTTCTTCAAAGAGGACTTCGGAAGCAGGTTTACAACTACACCACTGTCCACTCACACCCTGTTCATCTCTATCCCATCGAAGTAAGCTCTGATATACAAGGGCTTAACGTGTTGGGTCATAGATATTGTGGGGTACTCGAAGGGATATGAGAGGTTAATGGTCACCTCCTCACCTTCTTCATTAGTTTCCATTGGCTTGGCTACTTCTGACTCATCTTGAATCATACTGACATGCGAATCTTCACTAGAAACTAGAATATGGTCATTTTCCTGACCATCCTGGTCTCCCTCCTCAGCTTGGAATTCCTATGGCAACACATATACCATTGGTACTGAAGAGAATAAGCCAAACTATACTACTAGCTACAATTGCTCTTCTCCCATTTGGGCCTATTCTGAAGCTTAGGAAGCATCCTCCGTGCTACACTTT